TTAAGACCTTTTTAAGACCATCATCAATTAAATTTTAGACTTATATAGGGCTTAACGCTAAGGCTTTTTTAAATGGCCCAGCAGATTTGTTTTACTTGCCACATCAAAAAACTAATCTTTATTAGTTATTTCCTAGCCACATTTTCAAATTAACGTCAAAACAAGCAGACCCTAGTTGTATACATACTAACTTAAAAAAAAGCTATTTAAAATAAAAGCTTAAGTAAACTAAATGTATGCTCAATAAACTGTTATAGTATTGATTATAAATTGAGTTTTGCTAAAAGCTTTATTGGGATGTATTGATGGTGATTGGATGTAATTCGATGTAAATCGATTTGGTATCTTTACATAAACAAAGGAAAATTAAGACCTAAAATACAATATTTCTGTGAATTTAAGACATTTTAAGACCTTGCAGAAACCCTGTTTTTGTCCTTGAGTTTTACAAAAATGAATTAAAAAGACGAGGAAGCACAGGCAAAAATGCAGAATGGAAGGATTTTTTGGTACTGTTCAAATTGCGTCACACCCACTCAGCAAGTCAGTCAGGCAGTATCGGTGGGACCGAAACCAGCATGTTATTTTAATACACAGGGTTAAAGTTACATAAAACCACACAAAAATAATAAAGATTCAACGTCTGCATTTTTTACTTATTGATTAGTTTTCTGTGTTATAGATATAGACTTACAATAAACAAAAAACGATGCTAATCATCATCACAGGAGATCATTTTGACTTCATTATTTAGGAAGACAACAGACCGCGCATCCTCACTGTAATCCAGTCTGCAGCTTTCACACAAAGCAACAGGTGTTTATCTGCTTCGCTCAGCAGAACTTGTTTGTAAATGTGAAAGCCGTGTGATTATGGATTATAACAACTCAAATGTTGGGTTCAACCCCGCAGCCATGGGCAGCAGCAAAAACAAAAAGCGCAAGGTAAATAATACACCGCTGAGCAAACAAAGAAATTCCGCCTGCTTACCTGTTTTCCGAGACCTTCAGCAATGACCTTCGCAACGCGTACAATAACAAAAAAGCCTTTTTATTGATTTATTGTGAATTTAAAAACTCTTCGTTGAGACGGAGGATGGACAGTCCAAGCAAAACTGTCAGTGCGTTTTTTTCCGAAACAACCTGTTGCCTTTGCGTCATCGACCCGCCCTCCTTAAACTCCTATTGGCTGGAGATTTGTCCCAAGGGCGCTCGATGGGAACACGTGATTGGCCGTGATCCAATGTCAATCTAATACAAATAATTCAGGAGCCGTCCATTAACAAATTTAAGAAACTTGATGCCTCGGTTTAGTTTAGTAAAACTGCATTTTGGTTTAAAACAAAGTAATATAAAACTAAACACAATAATTAATGCTAAATTTATGATAAAATGTTGTGTGATTAAAATAAAGTTTAAGTCAGACAGAAATTGAAAAAGGGACGCTTACTTTTACTAAAATTGTTAAACGTTTAATCTTTCCAGCTATAATGTTTAATGTATAAAGTTTTCTGTGTGCAAAAATCGTGGAAGAAAAAGTATAATATTCTGTATAGCTTTACTACTATTCAACCCCAAAATCCAAATTTCATTTTTAAGAATTACCAGGTTCTCTGAGGGGTTGTTCTGCTTTTGAGTACAGCTCTGTACTGTCTTACAACCTATTACAGATGCTTAAAAACTACTACAAATATTGACTTAGCTACAACGTATTGAAATCTTTGCACATCAAGTTCCTACTATTAAAAACATTACAAAGACATCGAAACGAAACATTTAAAGGGATAGTTCACACACAAATAAAAAAGTCCTCACCATTTTCCCACACTCGAATAGTTCTCAACTGTAATGATATTTAAACAAAAAAAGATATTTTGAATAATGTTGAAGAAAGCAGCCATTGGCTACGTTTCCATCCAAAGATGCTAATTAAATGTATGCGCACTGGAATATCATATAAAAGACGTGCGAATAAAGGAGCGTTTCCATCCAACGAGTCTAAGAGAACAAAATCGACACTTTTTAATTAACTGGCACCAAATATCAAAAGTAAAAAGGGAATTTGCATCTGTAAGCTGTGTGAATCTTTATTTATTAAATGACTTGCACCTCAGAAGACAATGCCAACACACAGTGAACAAATTGTGACGTTTGAGAGCAAGAGACAGAGAAGAGATGCTCTTAACAGTTCTGGAGGTCATTAATAATATAAGTCTAATACTGAAAAGTATTATTTGTTATGGCGTTTTAGAATCACAAAAACAACATTGCAGACAATTTACAATGTGCGGTCAGTTTGCTGGTTTGTCCATTCACATGCATTTTTATCATCACATGACTTTTTTTTGTTTGAATTTGTTTGGTAAAAGTGTTGGTAGTTTATGTGTCAAATGTAGTTTATGCACATCCTTTCTTATCAAATAAAAAGTCTATCTTAATCAGTTATGCGCATGTTTTTTATGTCCATTTTTAAAATGAATGCACATCTTGGCCTTTCCATCAACCGTTGTTTTTTGTGCTTATCCAAGATCCGTATAAAACAGGTGGATGGAAACACAGCTATTGACATGTACTATGGACATCAATGGCCACTCGCTCCAACATTTTTCAGTATGTTTTCCTTTATGTTCAACAGAAGTGAACTATCCCTTTACCAAATTTCAGATGTTAAACAGTGATACTCTCGCGTAATGGACATTGTTTAAAACCCTCAGCCGACCTGAGAATTAACACTGGCCATGTCTATCCAATTAAAATCAAAAATTCTTGAGACGGCCAATTCCAGGACAATACACCATGTCACAAAACCCAGACCATCTCATTTCCTTGAACATAAGGAGTTGACCATCGACCATCCTTAAAATCAGATCATCTAAAAGGGCAATTTTGGAATGTGAAGCCAAAAAAAAAATGATATCATGTCAATATGGGGGACCAAGTTGTACCAAATAAAGAACTTAAAACATTACTTTAGAGCAGTGTTTCTCAACCATGTTCCTGGAGGACCACCAGCTCTACACATATCTGTCTCTCTAATCCAGGGGTGTGAAACTGAATTCCTGGAGGGCTGAAGCCCTGCACAGTTTAGTTCCAACCCTGCTCCAACACACTTACCTGTAGGTTTCAAACAAGCCTGAAGGACTCAATTAGTTTGATCAGGTGTGTTTAATTAGGGTTGGAACTAAACTGTACAGAGCTGCGGCCCTTTTGAAACTGAGTTTGACACCTGTGCTCTAATCAAACACACCTGATTCAGATCATCAGCTCATTAGCAGAATAGCCTGTAATGGGTGTGACAGACAAAGGAGACATCCAAAACATGCAGTGCTGGTGGTCCTCCAAGAACGTAGTTGAGAAGCACTGCTATAGCGCATAGGTCTCAAACTCGATTCCTGGAGGCCCGCAGCTCTGCACGATTTTGCTCCAACCTTAAACACATCTGATTCAACTAATCAAGGTGTTCAAGACAACTAGAGACTATTAACCAGGTGTTGGAGGTGGTTGGAGATAAACTATGCAGAGCTGCGGCCCTCCAGGAATTGAGTTTGAGACCATTGCTTGAGTGCACTGGTGTCAAATCCAGTTCCTCGAGGGCCACAGCTCTGCAGTCTAGTTTCAACCCTAATTAAACACACCTGATCAAACTAATTGAGTCCTTCAGGCTTGTTCAAAACATCCAGGTAAAGCTGCGGTCACAAAAGAGTTTAAGTGTGAAATTCGGTCATACTGCACTGCGAAAAGGGGCGAGATTAAACAAGATGATTAGACATTGAAAAAAGCGAGCGATTAATTCATGGTCTACATTTCTGTCCAAAGGTCATGTTTTGATCCTCGATTGGTCTCACGTAGTTCAATGATGCGATTTCGCAAGTCAGAGTTCACCAAGCTTGAACTTTGCACCACAGTGAATTGCGAAACTTATTGCACGAGCTTGCGTTTCCGGTCTGACGCATTTGCCTGCACATGAATGGAAGTCTATGATAAGAAAAGTGCAGTGTGACCGCAGCTTAAGTATGTTGAAGCAGGGTTGAAATTAAACTGGGCAGAGCTGCAGCCCTCAAGGAATTGAGTTTGAGACCATTGCTTGAGTGCACAGGTGTCAAATCCAGTTCCTCGAGGGCCACAGCTCTGCAGTCTAGTTTCAACCTTAATTAAACGCACCTGATCAAACTAATTGAGTCCTTTAGGCTTGTTTAAAACATGCCAGTAAAGCTGCGGTCACAAAAGAGTTTAAGCGTGCGAAATTCAGTCATACTTTGCTGCGAAAAGGGGCAGGGTTAAACAAGATGATTAGACATGTAAAAAAGCGAGCGATTGGTCCATGTTCTAAATTCCTGTCCAGAGAGGTCATGTTTTGATCCTCAATTGGTCTCACGCAGTTAAATGATGAGATTTCGCAAGTCAGAGTTTACCAAGCTTGAACTTTGCACCACAGCGTACTGCGAAACTTGTCACACAAGCTTGCGTTTCCGGTCTGACACATTCGCATGAATGGAAGTCTATGATAAGAAAAGTGCAGTGTGACCGCAGCTTAAGTATGTTGAAGCAGGGTTGAAAATAAACTGGGCAGAGCTGCAGCCCTCAAGGAACTGGATTTGAGACATATGCTTTACAGCATAGGTCTTAAACTCGATTCCTGGAGTGCCGCAGCTTTGCGGTTTTGTTCCAACCCTAATCAAACACAGCTGATCAAGGTGTTCAAGACTAATAGCCTTTTAAGCAGTTGTGAGTTGGAGGTGGAAACTAAAGTACACAGAGCTGTGGCCTTCCAGGAATTGTTTCTTAACCGCGTTTCTGGAGGACCACCACCACTGCATGTCTTGGATGTCCTATTTGTCTGTCACACCCATTACAAGGCTTTCAGTCTCTGTTGTTGAGCTGATCATCTGAATTAGGCATGTTTGGTTAAGGAAACATGGAAAACGCGCAGAGCCAGTGCTCCTCCAGGAACATGGTTGAGAAACACTGCTTTCCCTTCAGGAAGAAGAGCTGAGTGTGTTGAAAGGAAACAGGTATCTTTAACTTTATGACTTGGTTTATAGGGGTTTCAACCCATATTTAATACAATAAATTGGTCACAAAAAAAGACTTGTAAAAAAACAATTCAGTTTACTTCTTTCAGTACAGAGCCAGAGCCCAGAACACTCCCCATATTACTGCACAACGCTGGCGAATGGAGGGCACCAGAGCAAGCACATTGAACAGCATACACACAGGTACATAAGAGTTCAAATATAAGAAAAAGGCAAGATGGACAGAATCGTAGAAATAAAAAAAAAGAAACTGCAAACATCTTACTCTGCGACAACATTTGAGTTCGTTCTGTTATTTGGTCTACTTCATAGCCCAGGATGAGGCCTAACTGGAACAGTAAAAGTAACGTTTATAAACAGTTCTGACACAGTACTGCATTGGTTAACATGCAATCCAAAGACCACATACATATTGTCCACTTGTGTGTCAAAACAGTGAGTAGCTGTACATGAAGAGAAACAATCGAGAGTGCTGACAATGAATCGCAGAAATTCTGTCAGATCACCAATGTATTCAACGATGGACACAGTGAAATATTGATTATCTACATGTCTTATATGCCTTTTCAGGACACTGCCAGTTTCCTTTGGATATACTGAAATGGAGAGCGCTGAGAGGAGAGGAGAGGTTGTGTGGTGACTATACACTCTTGCCTTAAAAAGCAATCTTAGCCAGACATGTCGAATTTTTGAGGTAGCAAGTTGGCATCAGTGCTTTGCAGATCAAGAAGTTGGATTTTGAAAAATTAAATAAAAATTGGACAGCTTATTGGATGCTGATCTCAGAAGAGTTTAATTCTTGTATACACGTTTCGAATTTTGATTTATTTTTGCTCTGGCCAGAATTAAGCTGCTTTTCCAAATTTGTCACCAAGGCAAAATGAAGAATTATGAGTGCAACAATCATAAACAGCTGAATCTTGAAAATGTGTCGTGATATTCTATATACAAACATTTCCAATGTCTGATATAATGAGTTTCATTCAGAGACATGGGCCATAAAAGTGCTTATAAGGACTGTGAAGAAACAAATGCAAGAAGTAGCTTCAGAATAAGAAGTTCACTTTAATCCATACGTCTCGCTCTCCTCTGGTTCTCAGGTTTATTCTTCAATTCAATTTCACTTCCTCACCGCAAAACACAAGACATGAAGCACCAAAAAAAATTCATAAAACATCGCTCATCACCCATCTTCCTCCCTGTCTCAGCCATCATTCGCAGCCACAAGCTGTCCCAATCCCTGGCGTACATAAACCGCTTGAATCTCTTTAGTCTTGAGGCAAAAGTCACATGCCCACACTGCGGCACTCTCCCTGGTTAGCAGCCCATACGCTGGCTCAGTTAGGCCTGTGCAGTCTCGATGAAACCATCGTTGGCAAGAGGCCTCACACAAGATGGCCTCTTGATCATCGTGCACTTCTGACATGCAGAGGCCGCAAGGAAACACCATGCCCCCACCTAGCTTTGGGGGGCCAGAGCCTGGGCCAGAAGATGGTGGAGCGGGTCCACTGGGAAGCGGAGATTGAGTGTTGGGAGTAGAGTTAGAGTTGGATGGAGGATTGGGGTTGCTACCCGGGGTGTTGCTGCCACTGCTGTTGTTGTTAAGGTTGTTCTGGTTGGAGTTGGGTGGCTGGTTTGGCATTGGACCACCAGGAGTGTTATTCTGCTGACTGTAAGGTGTGGAACCTGGAGCAGAGTTGGGTGGTGTCGGTTGTTGCTGGTTTGATGGGGTGTTGGGTCCAGGGCCACCGGTGGAGTTGGGTGGAGGATGCTGATTGTTTGGCGCTTGAGGCTGGGGACCATTCAGCGGACCTGTGGGGGATGAATTAGGATTAGGGGGTTGAGGAACCGACTGGGGTTGTCCTGGGGTGTTGGGATTGGGTTGTGGGACATCTTGAGGGAAGCCTCCTCCAGGCTGTGGGTGTCCAGGGGCAGGGGATGGACCAGGGGTGGCATTATTTGATGGAGGACCAGAGGGGTTAAGGTTAGGTGGTTGCTGCTGAGAGGGAACAGGTGGACCACCACCTGGACCACCAAAGTTCTTTCCCTCTTCACCAACAGGAGGACTTGATCCAGGGTAGGGGCCATCTTGTGGAGGAGGAAACTGTCCTTGCGGAGGCATACCTGGGTGTCCACCCACCATATTACCCCCACCACCTCCACCACCCATGCCCATCATGTTCATTCCTCCTCCCATTCCCCCCATAGGGTTCATGGGGCCATGTGGAGGCCCACGGGGGCCAGGGCCGCCAGGTAAGGGAGGGCTGTTGAAGGGATGGCCACCTTGTCCATGTGGAGGCTGTTGCTGAGGCATACCAAACCTTGGATGTGGTGGACCTCCTCCGCCTCCTGGACCACCACCCATTGCTCCCGGCGACAACATTGGGTTAAATCCCTGTCCTGGATGCATTGGAGGGCTAAAGTTGGGTGGCATATTAAACTGGGATGGGCCTCCTGGTGGAAATCCTCCTCCACCTCCTCCTCCTCCCCCTCCTCCACCTCCAAAGCCTGGCATGCCCCCAAATCCAAGTGGGTGGTGTGGTCCAGTGTTCGGTGTTGGTGGACCAAAAGGGGGTCGTCGGCCAGGCTGTCCACTTCCAGGTCCTCCTGGGCCACCCATGAATCCCATACCTCCCCCCATTCGACCCGGCCCTCCATAGCCACCTCCACCAGCCCCTGGGCTGGGCAGAAAGGTGGCACCACCTGGACCACCACCTCCAGCAGAACGCGATGGCGGACCAAAGTCATCATCAAAAGGATTAGAGGCCACCAGGTGGTCAACCATCGGCGTAGGAGGGGGTGCAAACTCAGAGAGGTGGGAGAATGCCGCCCCCTAAGACAAATTCAGTGAGAAATAAGATGAGAACACTGAATTACTTTCTTCTACTGTATTAAATGCAATTATGATTTTTAAATGTGCTGAAAGTAGTTTGACAAAAGCAATAAAACAATAAAATCAATAAAAACCAAATATTCAAAAACTAACCTGAGAGTTGGACTTCCTCTTCTTTTTCTCTGGGCTCTTCATCTGGGAACCTGTTGAGGCAGAAATCAAATTGGGGAACAATGGGGAAAAATAGAGAGGAGAGAAAAGTAGCTGTTAGAGTCAAGGAACCGGTATATATAAAAAAGGTTTTGACTGTATATAAAATTTTTTTAAAAATCAGAGCACTATCAAATACATGCACAATAAATGTTTAAGTAGTAATTTGTCAGGTGGAATTTGAAAGAAGGAACATTAAACGGATAGTTTACCCAAATATGAAAATTCTGGAGTAATTTTTGGGTGAAACATCCCTTTAACTGTCCATTTACATTCCCACTGTATAACACTGCTAACATTAACTGCGATTTTGTTAAATTATTATAGTACATAGTTTACGTCTAGATTAACACTATTTCGGTTTTGAACAAATAAATTAAACTCATCTCCTATGAAAAAAAAGGAAATCAGTTTAATCAAATCATAATATATTCTAGATTATTTTAATGTGCAGTAATTGATCAACTATTTGATAGCTGAACCATTCTCTAAAAACTCTTATTCATTGGTATTAATAGCAATATTCATAGGTAAAACTTGTACCATGTTTTGCTTCACAGTTACAGGGTTTCTGCAGGTTTAACAGAGTTAAATTTAAGACCTTTTAAACACTATTTTAAATGAAATTTTAGACTCATAAAGACCAAAAGGCTAAGAAATTTTTCAAATGGCCCAGATGGAAAAGATTTTTATTCGCCCAATCAAAAATATTATTATAATTTAATACATTTACCAAAACAATACATTATTAATAAATAATATTTAAATGTTGTGTAAAAACAAGAAAGCTCTACTTATATATATATATATATATATATATATATATATATATATATAAAATGAACCCTTGTTTTAAAAGTTTATAATTTGTTTAAACTTTTAAACAAATGTTATTTTAAGGAAAATAATTAAACCATTATGATAGAGTTAAAAAATACCTTTTTAAATAAAAAAAAGTTTAAAGTTTTATTGAGATGGATTGTGGGTGATTGTATGGGTATTGGGTAGCTATACATAAATAAAGGAAATTAAGACATGTTTTTAAAAAAAAAAAAAAAAGATTTAAGACCTTCAACACAATGTTTCAGTAAATTTAAGACTTTTAAGGCCTTAAATTTGGATTTTATATTAAAGACATTATAATATACCCCGCAGAAATCCTGAATTAGATGAGAGAAACCAATTCCTATTTACACCTGCAGTTTTGTTCCCTCTCTTCTGTCCACTTTCAACAAGTTTCCTAATTTAGTTTCAAGGGAGGTGTGTATGGTTGGTTTCATGATTAGGCTTTTTAACTTTAGATTTAAGATTGTGGAAAAACGCTCTAACAAATTATAATAAGAACTTAAAAGGAAATAACAGAAAGAAATATGTCTGTATACACCCATTTCTCCCTTAAAACAAATAAGGATAGTTAATTGTACATCTTTTGTGCCTGTTTAAACTAATGTATTTTCAATACCTTAGGACTTTGTCAAAAGTGAACAAGCTAAAGAGTCCTCAGATCTCATTTACACATGTAATTAGCAGTGCCATAAGTGATTGAATGAACAATCTAGTAAACATAATTGTACAATATCTATTCATTCCAAAGTAAAACATTCCAATAAACAATCAGACAGCCCAAAACAAATATGAAAAAACCTCAACTAATTACATATGCATGAATACAGCTACACATACAATAGCAATGATATAAACTATTAATATATTACCATATTAAATAACACAAAGTTAAATTGTAAAGGAAGCTTGTCAATACATACAAATAAAACTTAAAGAAAAAAAATATACTGTTTAATCTCTAAGACAAATTCAAGCATTTCTGCATCCCTTAAAAGATCCCAAAGGTAAGAAGCTTGCTTTAGGGCAAACAACAGGTTGGAAAACAGTTAATGCAATGTATTAAAAACCCCCAACGAACACGCGTGAAAAGAAAAGTGATGCGTGGTTGACATAAAGCTACCCAAAGACAGATCCCCACGAAAACAAGGCCACCGGACATTCAGGCATGTGCGGACAGGGGAAAGGGAGATTTGCAGCCACAGCTGAGTGGATTCCCGCTCGGACACAGAGATGCGCTGATTGACGGTTTCCTACCTTTGCCTCGTTTTCCTTGCTGCTGCTGTCCCGCCATTAAAATGCCTGTTGGTGCGGTGCCATGACACCGTTCATTTACAGAAATTAGTTTATGTGACGAAAAGCTCCTCGGGTCCAACGAGTGTCACCCCGCAGTCCCAGGAATTGCGCGTGCACTGCTTTAATTTAACTGTACCGATGGGCCAATGAGTTCAGACACCTACTCAGCAACATGTCTGAAGGATGCATCAATGTTTTATGTTTAATGTCAGATTTGTCATCTTCTGCAGATTTGTTACACGCATGCACTCCTGAGGAACAGCTCTAACGTACGAGCTAAGTTACACCATCGCAGATAAACGCTGATGATTATACGATCTTTGCAAGCACGCAAACCAGATGAGAAGTGATTGGGATGGACTGAACGTGAATCCACATCTGCCCTGCCTGCAATGTGATCACATACAGATGTGTTTCTACCTGAAGTGCTGTCTAAATGGCATTCAGACGCAAGCACGCCAAGCTCGTCTCGCCATTTTAAACCGCGTTCGATTCGAACGTGCAGTGCGAGGGTAAATGACGCGTTATGCGTTTGAATTTAATTCAAACGTGATTTGAATTCGCGATCTAGCTACCGTTAGCCGTTTAGCCATCAGCAAGCAAGGTAAAGATGTTAAACGTTGCTCACACCGCTCATTCATCAACACCTGACTGCAGCATCAAGACATGGATGTCAACCCGCATATGACAAACAATCAATGTCAAATAGACTTACGATTTAATATTTATCCCCAAACGCGAAATTGGCCATGTTAATTACGGCCTACTCGTTGCCGGACAAAGAGGGACAGCCGGAGTCGACTCGCGCAGGGCATGTGTGGGAGATAGGGGAGGTCGGGATAAATCGTTTTAGCTGTTTTGATGGGCTGTTTACGTTTTTAGTTAACTAACGTGAATGTTTTGTATTTGGATTAATGTTGGTAATATTTTCGCGAGGTAATTAATGATTAATTTCTGATGCTTTTTATGTGACTTTTGAAGATTTTTCTCGGCTCCCCCTGCGTGTCGAACATATGGACTGCTCGAGATCAGACCACTTTTGGTTTTGATGCGGGGAATAAATCTGTGTTGTGGATTTTGCGTGTAGTTCGCTGCTTATAGCAGCGTTGTTCATTTGTAGAGTTTGAATTAATTTATTCTGTCGTGCATTGAGATTGTGAGGTAACACGCTCTGACTGTTTTCTAAAAAGAAAATATGGGTCCTCCCATTTACCCATAGGCTCGTCTGAATGCTTGCCTGGCTCAGTTGAATGAGTGGAGTTGTAGTTTTAATATCGATTTCAGCTTGTCTTTTGGATGTGCCAAAATACGAACAATAAGTCATTTCAAATAAATAGTTTTCGAATATATAGCCTAACTAATCATTAAATATTTTTAGCAAGACATGAAAATGTTACAAAAATTACAACAGGGCATTACTGAAACCAGATTTATATAGTTCACTCAGAAATTAAAACGTGGATGTGCTGTAAAATTACACAAATATATAGTTTACAAGATTTTTAGGGGAAACTGGTGCTGGATGATTCATAAAATCAAATGAACAGCTTTGACCCTGGATGATACACGTCTGAAGTGAATCAATAGGACTGTGCAAAAATATTGGAACAATAATCCATTTATTCAACAGCTTAGGCAAACGGTTCTGTGCATTATTAGTCTCGGGTGTGAGCTTCAAGCTGTATAGACCATTTCAATGTGGTGACGTCATTGGCCCATGAACATTTCCTTTTTTTATTAAACTTTTTCAATCTTAAACAAGAGGCAATTCAATCATAACTAGGCCCACACGGAATCTCCCTGCGCAGAATTCCGCAGATTTTTAGCCCAGCATTAATTCTGTTCATTTACTTGAGTAAAAGTGTGTAAATCTATATTTATTCGGTTTTTAAAATAATTACAGTAATATTATTGGCTAATATGAAAATGTTCATCTGATTTATGTACAATGCAGTTTGTACAGTAATATTTTCTGGCTTTTAGTGGATATTTTATATGAGAGACTTGCTTTGTTTACCAAATGAAGTAAATCTAACTGGATTTGCATTTAAAACATTAAATAAAAGTTAAAAAGAAATAATTTTTCATTTCACATATTAAGGTTTTGGTTCTGATACTTTGCAGAAATCCGCAGATATTTACCAAAATTCTCTGCAAAAATAAAAAAAAACGTTTGCAGATTCCGTCTGGCCCTAATCATAATTTAATGTTCAAACAGCTGTCAAAACATTATTTATCAATATGTGGCTCTTTTTGGATTCTCTGTAAAACAGGAATTACGTTTGGACCATTGTTTTTGTTTACATTCCTCAAAGTCAGTTAATTTGTTTTGCCTGGAAAGTTTTCTGACTTTTAAAAGCTGTTAGCCAATAGCTTCATTCATTCATTTTCCTTCAGTTTAGTCCCTTTATTCATCCGGGGTCACCTCAGCAGAATGAACCACCAACTTATCCAGCATATGTCATACACAGCGGATGTCCTTCCAGCTGCAACCCAGTACAGGGAAACACCCATACAATTACATTCACACAATTACACAACGGCCAATTTAGTTTATTCAGTTCATTCATAGCGCATATCTTTGGATTGTGGGGGAAACCAGAGCACCCAGAGGAAACCCACACCAACACAGAGAGAACATGCAAACTAGACGGAAATGCTTACACTTTTGCTTTTGATAGCCTGAGGGTGTGTAGATTTGAGAAAATGCTCAATTTTAAGCGAGAACTATCAATTCATTTTCCTTTTGCACTACTTCAAGGATCAGCTTCCTAAACTTAAGGCACAAATGGCATATCATAGGAGACAGGCGAATGACTCTGCTGCCCTCTTGTTGTTGGTTTAACACTGTACACACACCACCTAACCCTAAACCGTCTAAACCGAAGAATAAGATGAATGCACATTTAACAGAAGTTCTCTGGCGGCCTCTAGTGGTTATATAGACACTGAAAACAAAACATTGGACATTATTGGTGTTATCAACCGTTCAAAACGGCAGCAGTTTAGACCAATACAAAGCTTTTATTGTCACATCATTTACTGTGTCTCTTTTAAACCAATTGTGCTTGACAGATTGATGGATACTTTCACTCTGCTCTATAAATAGTACACTAGGTAGGTAGCCTTGTAATACAATATACTGTAAGTGCTACATTATATATGAACTTATGTCTTGTGAAAAGTATCTTGACCTAACTGTACATTAGTATATACACAGACATTTTGAGACTTATCCAAACCGTTATACCACACTTACTATTTTTACTATTTTTTTATTTAGACCCACCTATAAATGCCTGTTAGATAGGGTGAGACAAAGTCAGCAAATACTGCAATAGCTTGAACCTGAGGGAAATTAGCATTTTAACTTCTTTGTCCTCATACAAAGATTATTTGTGCTGTAAATGACTGGAAATTTTACAGAGCAAAAGTAAATCTGTTATGTGAATGCTATAGGACCATTCCATTATATTATTTTGCAATTACTATAAAACATTTTAATTAATGAAACATTCTGAACACCCATACATTGCATACATTGTTGGTCATAAATTGAACAAATGATCTTTGCAAGTTAATCCGCTAAAAAAAACTATAGAGAGTTATTGTTATAGTTATTGTTATATGTAGAGAGAGTTTCTTTTTTAAATGTTTTCCAAATGATGTTTAACAGAGCAAGGAAATTTTCACAGTATGTCTGATAATATTTTTTCTTCTGGAGAAAGTCTTATGTGTCTTACTTCGGCTAGAATAAAGGCAGTTATTAATTTTTTAACACAATTTTAAGGACTAAATTATTAGCCCCTTTAAGCTAAATATTTTTTCGATAGTCTAACAAAACCATCGTTATACAATAACTTGCCTAAGTACCCTAACCTGCCTAGTTAACCTAATAAACCTAGTTAAGCCTTTAAATGTCACTTACAGCTTTATAGAAGGGTCTTGAAAAATATCTTGTCAAATATTATTTACTGTCATCATGACAAAGATAAAACAAATCAGTTATTAGAGATAAGAGAGAATAGATAGAGAAGAGTTATTGTTATCTGTAGAGGCAGTTATATATATATATATATATATATATATATATATATATATATATATTGTTAAATAAATAGTTTTTGTTGTATATGTAGTTATTTTTTATATATAGAGTTATATATATAAATATAGTTATGTTATTTGTAGAGAGAGTTATTGTTTTATATATATATATAGCTATTGTTATATATAGAGAGAGTTATTGTTATCTGAAGAGAGTTATTGTTTTATATATATAGTTATTTTTTATATATAGAGTTATTGTTATATATATATATATATATATATACCTATATATATATTGTATAATCATTGTATAATCATTTTCATATATAGAGTTATTGTTATCTGTAGAGAGAGTTATTTTTATATTTAAATATATTTGAAGTCAGAGTTATTCGCCTCCCTGTATATTCTTTTCCCCAATTTCTGTTTAACGGGGAAAAAAATTCAACACATTTCTAAACATAATAGTTTTAATAACTCGTTTCCAATAACTGATTTATTTTATCTTTGCCATGATGACAGCACATAATATTTTACTAGATATTTTTTTAATATACTAGTATTCAGATTAAAGTGACATTTAATAGCTTGACTAGATTAATTAGGCTAATAAGTTTGACTTCGACTGAAAAGTAGGTAGAAAGGAGAATACATGTAAAAGATGTGAGTATAATAAAGTTAAAGCATGCTTTTGTTTTGTTTATGTTTGTTCTTTACCATTAATATTTGACAATTTAAATGTTAAATTTAGACCATTTTCATAAAAAACCATAACATTTTAGTGCCTAAAGCTTATTTTTATCTCGTGTAAAATGATGTATGTTAATTACGCTCTCTTTAAAACCTCCCTCTGCCCCAGTCCAGGTCCGTGCTGTCATTCATTCACTCTGCCCTGATCCACCCTTGATCATTAGTTATGAATCGCTTGATTGACATCAGCGCGGTGTGTCTTTCCTGAGTGCTCCTCATGAATGATTTCTGCATTCTCAGGCCCTCTTCAAGACCCATTAGTGTTAATTTTAGCCTCAGGATTGAGTTTCCGTCTGCATTGTCTTAAATCAGGATGAATTGTTAATCCGCGGCTGCTGTCATAGGCAGGTTAAGATCACAGTGAAGGTTAGGTGAAGGGGTGACGGAGGCGGCGGAGTTAATGACTGTTTGCAGATCAGATGTTCAGGAGTCTATACGGCCCTCGAGGTTAAGGCTAGAATAGCAGCAATACATGATAGCTGAAGGGAATCACGCATGCTAAAAACAGCCAAACGTGTTGCCTCGGTATCATTTCACTGGTATTAGAAACACTTAACATGCAGGGAAAAAAGGGGTGAATTGACACCAGCCCTCCTCCTTTTTTCTCTAGTCGGGACGTTAAGATCCCTCTCTTTTTACCTTTCTTACTTCATCATCATGATAGCTGAGTCCGATAAGCAGTGTCTTGTGACGCCTGCAGTGATCCAATTCAAGACCAGAGCCATCCTCCATGAGCATATTCGATGAGAAACAGAGAAACCAGCCGTTAAGGAGACAGCAAACACGTGAAAACCTGTAGACATGTCAAGCTACTGTAAATCAGAGCTTCACTTAAAGATAATGCTGCTGCAAGACATCTAAAAGGGAAAACTATATAAATAAGTATTGGGCATAAGGAATACCATGATATTGCAGCCCAAGCTTTAGGGTGTACTCACACTATGCTATTC